AAGGGTTGGGAGAGAGACCTAGTAGTATAACTGGCCTGGGACAATCAATAGAAATAGGCCACAAGATCTGTCCTAATCACAAGGTTGGCGGTTCAAACTCACCAGCTGCTCCTTGGAAACCCCATACAGGGTCGCTGAGTCGGAACTGACTCGGCGACACATAACAGCAGGACTGAAGAAGCTATCGATCTTGTCTCAAGGAGCCACTGGATGAAATTTCTCTGTAGCAGAATGTCATTGCATTATTGAGGGAAGAATGGAAGGAAAACACATAGCTTCCAATACCCAAGCACTCAAGAACTGAAAAAGCCTCAAGTGGAGCCTCATTATTACCCCCAGGGACCACTCACCAATCAAGCAACACATATCAATCTGAGTGTGTAGTGTGAGTTTGGCCCTCAAAGGCACCATTGTGGGCTGGCTGCAGGATTGAAAGACATGATCCATGCTCTTGGTGCTTAGAGTTGATGAGACTAACTACAAGAAACTGTAAACAATGCAATATATAGACTGAGTAACATTGTATGGAGCAGATTAAAAATACTGTAGCAGAATTAGGCTGCAAAAGTCAAGCAACCACTATAAAGAGGTGGGATTTAAGCTTAATATTGATTAGTAGAATTTACAGAGGGGAAATCCTTTCAAGGAAAAGGAGAGAGAGGAAGAATGTTCTCTTGTATTTTAGGCACCTAAGCCCTGGTGTGGTGCTGTAGGATAAGCACTGGACTACAAGGTCGATTTGAACCAAAAAGTGGCGGTTCAAACTCACCAGCCACTCTTCGAAAACCCTATACAGGATCACTATGAGTCAAACCGACTGGAAGGCACTCAGCAACAACAGCAGAAGCCAGGGCTGATTATAATTGAGGGTGTGCAGATGAGAAGAAGTAAGGTTAGAATTCAGAAAGAAAGAAAAAAAAAGGAATCTTCAAATCCTAGAGGTAACTAGAGCCCAAATACCCTGAGGGAAATGAAGAACCAGCCCCCACTGAGGTTCAGCCTCAGCCTTTTCAGAGAACTGGCTCAGCACTGGGTGGATCAGTCATGGGCTGTGTTACACCACTGTCTGTAAACTCCACCCAAGCCTGCACTCAAGGAAAAGGGTGGAGCTGTAGAATGCTCTTTTCCCACCTGAGCTTAATTCTTACTGGGCCAGGGGTGTGCCTCGCCTTCTCCCACAGCTTTAGACAGCCCCCAGAGACTGGGGTGTGGGTGGGGGGACAATGCTGTGAGTTTTTCCTGAACACGTGTAGTGCCCTCTGCAGCAGGTTTTCTGGGCCCCTGTGCAGAGGAGTCAGGAGCAGACAGAGCAGCTTGACTTAGGGGTGGGAGCTGTGTCTTCTCTCCCTCCCCTGCTTCTGCCCATTTGTTTTCCCCCTAGGGCTTTACTTTCTTTATGTCCCCAGAAATAGTCCTACTTTGTCCCAGCATCCTTTTAGACTGGATTGCTGACCACTTACCTCCCCCACACACATCTCATGCCCCTTTCCTGCTGCCTCTTCCCCCACCAGAACTCGATCCGCCACAACCTGTCCCTGCACAGCAAGTTCATCAAGGTTCACAATGAGGCCACTGGCAAGAGCTCTTGGTGGATGCTGAATCCCGAGGGAGGTAAAAGTGGCAAGGCACCCCGCCGCCGGGCAGCCTCCATGGATAGCAGCAGCAAGCTGCTCAGGGGCCGCAGCAAGGCCCCCAAGAAGAAAACAGCGGTGCTACCAACTCCATCTGAAGGTGCCACTCCGACAAGTCCTCTTGGCCACTTTGCCAAGTGGTCAGGCAGCCCTTGCTTTAGAAACCGTGAAGAAGCCGATGTGTGGACCGCATTCCGTCCACGAAGCAGTTCCAATGCTAGCACTCTCAGCACCCGGCTGTCCCCCATGAGGCCAGAGCCTGAGGTGTTGGTGGAGGAGGAAATCCCAGCCTCAGTCAGCAGCTATGCAGGGGGTGTCCCTCCCATCCTAAATGAAGATCTAGCGCTGTTAGACGGGCTCAGTCTCTCATCTTCCCACTCCCTGCTATCTCGGAATAGTCTCTCTGGCTTCTCTTTGCAGCATCATGGGGTTACTGGCCCCTTACATACCTACAACACCTCCCTCTTCAGCCCAGCAGAGGGGCCCATGTCAGCAGAAGAGTACTTCTCAAGCTCCCAGTCTTTGGAGGCCCTCCTCACCTCTGATACGCCACCACCCCCTGCTGATGTCCTCATGACCCAGGTGGATCCCATCCTGTCCCAGGCTCCAACACTTCTGTTTCTAGGGGGGATACCTTCCTCCAGTAAGCTAGCCACAGGAGTTGACCTATGTCCCAAAGCCCTAGAGGTTCCAGGCCCCAGCAGTCTGGTTCCCTCCTTTTCTACGATAGCACCACCTCCAGTCATGGCAGGTGCTCCCATCCCCCAGACCCTGGGTACTTCTGTGTTCACATCACCTACTGAAGCTGCAAGCCAAGACAAAATGCCTCAGGATCTAGATCTTGATATGTATATGGAGAACCTGGAGTGTGACATGGATAACATCATCAGTGACCTCATGAATGAGGGCGAGGGACTGGACTTCAACTTTGAGCCAGGTACAGCACTCCCTAATCACTCTAGCTTCTCACAACCTTCTGTCCACTCTTAAGTGCCCAGCTAGTCCCATAATCTGAGCAAAGAGGAGATTTAGAACAAAGAGTAGCTAGAACTCCTGAGTAATTGGAGAGAGCAATATTTAGAGTTGTATAGTTTCCAGATGGGACTTCAGCAATGCCCACCCCTACAAGGTAGCACAGAAGGGGGCGGGGGGGGGGGGAATCTCTTGTTTCCCTTGGTGTAAACCTGGGTCATGGAAAGTTGTCATGCCCTCATGACCCAGGTGAGTTTCTTACCTTGTCCTCTGTTTCTTCTTCCCACAGATCCCTGAGCCATGGGCTAGAAGTTTTCTCCTCTGCTTCAGAGGTGGAGTCAGGCTGTCCATATCCACTCTTTATCCTTGACCCCCCCCCACCCAGGATTTGGTACCCTGCTTTAGAGCTAGGGTGGGGTCTGGGCACACACGGGTATTGAGGAAATTATGAAGATAAAGCTATGGGGACTATGGGAGGGAGGGATGAGGGAGGAGGAGAGGGAGAGGGTTTATTCTCACTGTGCCAATTAGGGGGTAAGGCCCCCTCTGGGAGCCATCCTGGGCTTCCCCCATCCGGGCAATGCTGTTGGAAATGTGAAGTCACCAGTGGCCTTACCCCTGCCTTTGGGAGCAGGAATTTTTTGTAAGGAGTCTTATCTGAGCTGGGCCAGATAAGGTTGAGCCTGGGATTTTGATGCAGTGGCCCCTTAGGCCTGTGGTGCAGGATAGGGAGCTAGGGGTGATCTGGAAGGGCCAAGACCTGAGCACTGCAGAGGCTAGCCTGACCAAATTGCCCCTTGGAAGACTGCAAATAACAGAAAGACTTTTTATTATAAACTTTTAAAGAAATATAAACACAAGTATAGAGATTTTTAACAGTGACAAGGTGCTTTTCTTTCTGAAGGAAGGCTTTGTCATAGTGATATGATACAAACACTACAGACAATACTAAGGAGACACCATGGGGTGGGGGTGGGGGCGGGGGCTTAGAGGAAATGGAGGAGAGAACTTAAGGCCAATAGAGAAAAGGGGAATAGGAGGTGAGTGGTAGTGAATAAGGACAAGAACTTTCCATTGGACCAGGTCTAGGAAAAAATTTATGCAGAAATAGGTTGGAGTTTCCCTAAGGAAAAGTCTAAGCTAGGTCCACTCTTTTTGTCAACTTGTGCCTGGAGTGAGTGGTGTTGGTCTGTAACCACATTCTTTATGACCCAGTGTGGGTTAGTGCTACTGTGGGAGAGTGCACTGAAGGCCTGGAATTAGGTTAGAGCCTGGGAAGGGGGTGGAGTGGGAGAGGGGAAGGAGGGAAAGATTTATGGTAGCAAAGTAAGTACAGAGACCTCCCTGTTCAACGCCTCTGACAGCTGTCCCTGTCCTTCATCTTCTTCCCTGACTACAGAAGTTGTATGGAAATGTGTGTGGTGAAGAAACAGGGAATGGGGGGGGGGGCGGGCGGAGAGCTGAGAGCTTGGCTGAGGATCTGGGAAATGAGCAGGGATGGGGAGGAATGTGGATCAGGTTTACTAGCACCTGCCAGGGAGGCCATCTGGTGCTCCCTCTTTACCCCTCCCCCCCAACCACCCAACAGCCCTTCCCCCAGTTCTCTTTGCATTGTCTCCGCCTCTCCTGCCTCTGCTGTGGGTTCCTGTTATTTCCTGTGTCAGCGCCTGGCCTACCCAGATTGTATCTATCAAGTGCTAGATTGGAGTGGGAAAGTGTGTCAAATCAATAAATGAATAAATTCAATAAATGCTTATAACCAGTTTTGGTTTCTGCTGCCTTGCTGCTCCCATGGGAGAAGGGGGACGGAAGGGTAAAGGGCGGTTGGAGTGGGGGAAGGAGACTACACAGATGCAGAGAGGTAGAGGGTGGGGGGTTTTCAGTAGAGGGAGGTGGTAGACTGTGGTGAGGGGAGGGAAGATGCCTATCTGACACTGAACCCCAGCAGAAGAAGTAGGTCCACCATGAGATAGGCTTTGTTAGGGGAGGCAGTCTGGTTTAAGAAGCTCCCACCCCCTATTCCATCCCTCAAAAGCTCTTTATACTAGACTTCATAGTCTTCCAAACCCTCATCAAGGTGCTCACTGCTGTTTCCACCTACCCTCAGAGCCTCCTTGATGCAGATCTTGGAGAAAGGAGTCCTTAAAAAACAAACAAAAGCACTGCCATCGAGTTGATTCCAACTCAGCAACCCTATGCAGGGTTTCCTAGACTGTAAAGACTATAAATCTTTATGGGAGCAGACAGCCTTATCTTTCTCCCACAGCGGGGCTCTTGGGTTTGAACCACCAACCTTGTGGTTAGCAACCCAATGCCTAACTCACAGCATCACCAGGGCGCCTAGAAAAAGGAAACTCGTGTTAAATTCCAGTAATTTCATACCAAGTATTGCTGCTCTCAATTGGTCAGTTTATTTAGTTAACGATGTTTATCCCTCCTAAGAAAATCTGCTCTGGTCTTATGGAGTGGACCCCTACGAGTTGGAGGAGGAGTGGAACCCTCTTCCTCTGATCGTCCTGCTTTAGACTGAAAAGGGAAAAGGTCAGTAAGGACATACACAGAGCCCCGTGGGGAAAGTTGCTAACAAACTAGAGCCAAAGAAAGGATAAAAGAGGTTGGAAAGAGGTGTTGGGCATGGATGTTTGGTTCAGAAAGTAAATTCATCCCAGGGGGCCAGAGTGGAGGAACTTTCAGTTGGCTGGTGGGGGCAAGGGGATGCTGGGACAGATCAAATTTGGGGAGGCTTACTGATAGGTTCACGGAGGATTCAATTTGAACGACCTTCTTCGCTTCTTGGATTCTAATCATCTTCACTCTACTCCTCTCTAAGAGGTCACATTGTGTGCGCAGTGCATCTAGGAAACAGGAAAAGGCACCCAAATCTCAGGACTGAGACCTTACCCATCCCAACCCCCCCCCCCCCCCCCACAATCATTCAAACTATCATTTGGAATAACCTTGCCTCAGGCTAAGCTGAGGAGTGATCTGAAGGTGCCTAAATTTTGCCCTTTTTGGTGAGACTTGGGACCTTAAGATACCAAGAAAAAAGGGATGAAGAAAAAGATGGAAATGAAGGGATGGGAGATAGACTGAGAAGATGGCTGAGAAATTGGGGTGGGGGTGGAGGGGTCATATTTGTACACTCCATGTGGTTTGAGTTAAACATCACTCCTAAAGTGAATCTGAAGTCCTGGTTTGGCATTGTAGACTAAGTACTGGACTACTAACCGAAAGGTCAGTGGTTCAAACCCACCAGTCATTCCTTGGAAACTCTCTACAGGGTCACTGTGAGTTGGAACACTCAATGGCATTTAACAACAACAAAATAGATCTAGATCCAGATCCTGTTTCCCATTTCTAAAATCCTGGGGTCATACCTACATTGTTACACTGTTGTTTTATTGTTAAGTGCCGTGGTGTCAGTTCTGATTCATAGCAACCCTATATAGGATTTCCCCGGAGTGGCTGGTGGGTTTGAACTGTGACCCTTTTATTAGCATTTCAATGCTTATCCTACAGTGCCATACCAGGACTCCCAGTGTTACACTAGCCCTATCCTATATTCTAAAGAGCCCTGGTAGCATGGTGTGTTATGTGTCAGGCTGCTAACTGCAAGGTTCAAGTCGACCAGTGACTCCACAGGAGAAAGAGGAGACTTTCTGCTCCTGTAAAGATTTACAGCCTCAAAACCCCTACAGAGGTCCGCTGTGAGTTGGAACCAACTTCATGGCACACCACCATTACCACTCTATATTCTACATCACACAGTTATGTACTGTACTGTCCATGCCCTTCCCCACCCCCACCGCAATCTCCTTACCCAATAGCTCATATCCTGGATTCTTAAGGAGGGGCACAAAAGCTCTGTAGGAATTCTCAATTCGGGTTCCTGTGAACACAACAATGTGCCACTCTTAGCCCCTGTCCCTTAGTCTCCACCCATCCAAAGCCCAAGATTCCAGGACTCTAACATTAAACAGGAGTCCTAGTGTGGTGATGTAGGAAAACCAAAAGATCGATCAACAGTTCAAATCCACCAACCGCTCCTCAAAAACCCTGTACAGGGTCACTATGAGTCAGAACCAACTCGACGGCACTTGACAACAACATTAACCACTACCTTGAGCTGATGTATCTAATTTCCTCCCCTCAAGTCCATCCCTAGAATGAGGTAGGGTGACATGGCATATGTGTATGTTATACAGGCAGTGCCCTTTCACTGCTGACTAGAGATGGTCAATTTGGATCTGATTGAGGGTACCCTATTTAAAGGACAAGGCTTATGATCCATCTTAAGGACTTTGCCGTATATCTAGAGAATGCTCCCAAGTCTCTACCTGGTGCCCCACGCTCCACCCTACACACGTAGTAGGTGCTTCGAGGTGTAAGGAATTTGCTGGCATATTCTTCAGGGGTCTTCATCATGAAAAGCAACTTCATTGTCCCTGTTTCATCACACAAATCGATGGTGTCTGGGGGGAAGCCACAGAGTAATTGGGGCAGCTAAGGAAAGAGAGTGGGAACAGAAAAGGCCAGTGTCCTATACTGAATGGGTTGGAGAAAGCTCTGGGAATATGAGGAACTCCTTTCTTTCCAGGAGGAGGATTTGGGAGCTAAGAATTACTTTACTACTCCTGACTCTTGGTTATTAGTCCCCTCCCCAAATTCCTCACCTGTTTTAGACAACCTCATCTTACAGCGGATGTAGTGCAACAACAGAAGGACAGAGCAATTGGTATTGACCAGAAACTGCTGATGATCTGAAGAGAGATGAGATGGATTATGTGGACCAATCTCTGTTTATTTAATCTCTGTGATTATTGCTCTCAAGTCTTACCACCCTCATACACAGACTCCAGCTATCTGTTGCTCCTTACCTCCATATTTGATGAAGATGAACATGTTTTCAGGGCTGTCTTAATCTTCAGAGAGAAGCCTGATGATTCATGCAGAAGTAGATGTTCTAAAGGTCTTAGGGGTCAAATGGGCCCATAGGATTGGGGGGCTGGAGGGGTAGATGGATCCCATAGGCTGAGGAAGCCCAGACTGGGCATACAGAAGAGAGCTATTTGCAGTTGTGGATAACCAGCATCCCTAGGGGTGGGGCCCGAGGCTGCAGTTGAGGGATTATGAGGTCAGAAGTGTTATGTGTGACATGGGGTTGCAAGAAGGATAAGAAAAGAACTTGGGTAGGTTTATAAAAGATTTGTTGGGAATAGAGGCAATGTAATCAATCTAAGTTTAAACTAGACCCTGGAATAAGTACAGAACACTTAGAGAAAAGCAAGTTTCTAGTTAATCTTTTAGTACTACCCCCTTCCACAGCATGAATCTACCTTTTCCTACCCTCAGCACCATGCCGCTCACCCTTATTACACCCCATGCTTTTCCTGCTCCCTGTCCTCATGACAGATATTCTTTTGCTTCACTTTATTTAAAAAGAAAGAAAGGAATGTATGTGAACATGACAGACATTCTTGTTATCAACAGAAACTTTATTTCTTACTGATTTAGGAACAGTTGAAGGGTAAATGGGAAAGTTGAGGGAGGAACAGCGGGAAAGAAAATCCTAAGCAAAGGAAGGGCTAACTAGGGGAGATGGGAAACAAGTGCAGGGCAAAGGAACAATTTTCAACTAGGAGTTACTAAATGAAGGAGTTACTAAATCGGTCACAGAGGGATGAGGTAAATATCAGTCCCAGACAGATTGGATAAGGGAAAAGTTAGTACATCGTGGGGCTATAGGATCCTGGGGTTCTGTCAGGGTATCAGGACTCAGGTTTCAAGGTGTAACATGGGGTGGGAGAAAGGCAATAGGAGGAGCTATGCTGGCTGCTAGGAGAGCCTCCAGGCCCGTCCACTAGAGCTCCTCCTTTTGGGGGAATTTCACTGACGCAGCAGAGCCTTTCACTGTAGTCTGGCTGCAGACTCTCAGCCAGTCCCTTAGAAACGCCACTCCAGGCCTAAAGACAGATATCTCCAGGTCAGAGATCAATTGAGAGCAAGAATAAAAAACCTAGCCTCTGTGCTAAGGGAGATCTCACAACACCTGCAATTGCTGTGATTACTGAAGGGCGCAGACCCCTGGGCCCCCAATACTACGGTTCCATCTGCTGCACCCAATCTATATTCAGTTCTTCTGTGTGTCTCTGTCTAGTCCATTGCCTATTTGGTTATCCACATCCTGATAGTTAGTTCAGGTCTCCTTCCTCCCCTCTGTCTATCTTGCTTCTGCCTGCTTCCTAACTCTGTACATTTCCCTACCCTAATAACACACTGCAGTCTGCTTATGGCAATGTTCTCACCAAAAAGTTCCCATGGTATTCAGTAACCAGGTCCTCTAGGTTCTTGAGGGTGGGAATTCGGGGTATTGCCCTAAGTGAGGAGAAAGAGAAAGCAAAAGCACTTTGGTTAAGTTCTATTATTACCCTTCTCCCAGTTCCTCAGTATAGAATGAAGTGACTTGTGTTCTCTATGCCTGTAGCGTCTTCCCATCACCATGCTCTCTTGGATGATCCTTCATTCTTTATTAACCTGTACTCTACTCCTAGAGATCCTACAATAGGGATACTCACTGGACTATTAACCACAAAGTCAGTGGTTCAAAACCACCAGCCATTCCTTGGAAACCCCAGATAGGGTCGCTATGAGTCGCTATGAGGAACCAGCTGGACAGCACTTAATAACACCAACAACGATTCCCAACCATTCCCACCTTATTTTCCTGGGTTTACCCAAATCTCACCTTTCCAGCCAGATGTACACAAAGATGAGGCTAATAATGAAGCCTATGGAGCCAAGGGGGATAAGCCACACTCCCCATGCAAACAATGAAGGATTCTCTACAGAAAAGAAGAAAGGAAAAGGGATCTAATATTTGTGGTGCATCTACCATGTGCCTGAACTCCTGATGTGGTGCTGTAGGATCAGCACTGGACTGTGAACCACAAAGTCGGCAGTTCATACCCACCAGCTGCTCCTCATAAACCCTAAACAGTGTCGTTACGAGTCAGAATGGACTTAACTACAACTACTACTACTATGTGCCAAAATTTGTAGAACTCCAGTTTGGAGCCAGACACTGTGCTAAACACTTCCTGTATTCTTAATCCTCACAATACTTGAGAGGGAGGAACATTTATTATCCCCCATTTTAAAGGGAACAGAACTGAAAAAGGTTAGTGAAGTGCCCAAGGTCAAAGGGGTAGTAAATGGCAGAGTTAAATTTAAACTCTATAGCTGTTTGGTTCCAAAACCATTTTCATTTTATGCAGTTTCTCTGAGAATGCTATAGGGAAAATCCTACACATTTTATATCCCCCTTGAATACTCCTTCTGCCTGCTTCCCAACTCTCTATACTCCCTTACCCTAATAACACATTGACCCAACTTTACACAGAAAAGCATTGCTTCCTGGGGGAAGCAAGATGAGATGGGGCACCAAGTTTGGGGGCTTAAGGGTAGGGAAGTAGAGCAAAAGACGGTGGTGGTGTTAAAGAGGTTTAGAGTGTTGGGATAATGGATTGGAGTCTGTTTTACCCTTTGATGTATTGCTCCCCCAATGGATTGGGTGACTCCATTCACTCCAATGTTGAGCACTGCCACAGAGTGGGTTATAGCGACTCCGAACACGGAAAGTGTACAGTTTCTGCCCATCCACACTAGGCAAAGAGAAGCTCCGTCTTTGGGTCACTGATTGTTCCTTGGGGGAGAAAGAGGATCAGAGAAAGGTGGGCGTCTATAAAGGAAGGGAGAATTAGAGCACAATGCTGACTCCACCCCAATGTCATCTTCAGATTCTTCCCAGTTCCTCCCTCCTATCTTGACCACTCAAATCATACTGCTCCCTTCACTGTCTTGAATTTAATGCCTTTCCCCCAAATTCCCTTAAAGGCTGCTTTTTGCTTACTTGTCTATCTGGTATTCAGGATAGTATGGGTATAGAAAGTTTAATGTAAATCATTGGCAAGGACAGGTGAAGGAATTGGGAGGATAGGGGTGGGCTTCAGATTGGTGGGCAGAGGAACTGAGTAGTGGGGCAAAGGCATAGATCCTTTGGAATTAGGCCATCCTATCTGGCTGATTGAATCCTTTATCCCCACTTGCTTGGCCTTAGCTGCTACATTCATTTATTCTAGTCACTCACAGTCCAGCTGTGGTCCCGGTTACTCCAGTACTGCACCAGATATTCCAAACAACGGTCCAAGTGTTTGTTGTCCCAGCTCAGCTCTAGTTGGGATTCACTCAGGTTGCGAAGTGTTAGATTTTCCGGAGCCCGGGGGATTACTGGAGATATGTATGCATGTGTGGTCATTTCTCTGGCCTAGACAAGTCAAGATCCTGAAGGTAGTGCCCCTTATCCCTCGTCCCTTCCCCATCCCAATTGTCTACCTCCTTCTTTCTGCCCAAGTAGCCTTATGGTGAATGAGGACCATTCCATATACTCCCCCAACCAAGCCAAACCTAATGCCGTCTAGTTAGTTTCAACTCATAAGGATCCTGTAGGACAGAGTAGAACTGCTCCTTGGTGTTACTCATCTTTCTCTCAAGGTGGTTTTGAATCACCAACCTTTTGGTAAGCAGTTCAATGCTTACATTACACCCCCAGAACTCCTTCCAAATATCCCAGCACCCCACAATATCCCTAGACTCTTGACCCCCTATTTTCAAATACCCAGATTCTGTAGCTTTAATGTCTGCACAGCCTGCCTCTTGGATTCCCTGGGGTCCTGGAGCTGGATGACGAATGTTTTGTAGAGATGAATCTCCTCTTTTTGAAACCAACAACCAGAAGTGATCTGTTCAGAGAATAGATAGTAGCCACATTCCTGGGCTTTATCATTATCAGAATTCGTGTACCTAGAGAAGAATGAAAAGGAAGTGGAATGATGGGGCACATTTGGATACTACAGATGTCCACAACCCAGCCTCATTTTCTCTGAACTGACTTATAATTTGCCCCATGAGAAAACAGTGGGAAGCCTGGGGTGCTGGCTACCCTCCTTCTTGGTCCCCTTCCCTTGCATCTCCTCCCCTTCCCATGTGCTACCCCCTCCTCCCTTCTCATACCAATAGTGCAGAGTCAAGTTGGTAGGCTGTGGCTCAGAGCTACTGTTCCAAGTGCAGTTCATGTACTCAACATCGAACACAAAACACTGAACCTCTGGGAGTGGCAGGGTAGAAACACTGAGAGACCCAGGGGACATAGAGGTCAGAAAGAAATCTAGATTGGAGTGAAAATGAAGCGGGAGAGGGGAAGAGAAAACAAAACAAAACAGAACAAAAAAAAAAAAAAAACGATGGTTAGAGGAAGGAGTAACATGTGGCAAGGAACCCATCCCCCTGCCCTCCCCACTCTCTCTTAAATTCTGCCCACATTGTCCAGTGACAGGATTCAGAGTTCTGTATGTCCCTTCTCACAACCCCCCCTCCCCCAGTCCCAAGTTCCCCACCAGCTGTGCTGTCTTCATTCCCATTGGGCGTGAGGGCCATCAGGTTCAGCCCCACCCCCAACAGAGGTAGCTGCAGGAATAAGAGGGGTCTGAATGGCAATGAAGGCTTCAACATGGCGCTTGCTCTTCTTTCCCTGCGTGTAGTCTATGTCAGGAACCTGGGGCTCTTCACCCATTACCTCTCCCCACCCACGTATTTCCTTCTGTCATAGTTTCCGGTGAAAAGAACCTTTGAGATCAGGGCTTTACAGAGGGTGTGGTAAATGTGTACTGTCATACAGGCTAAATTCCCCTGGGAGTTTAGGTGGCATCAAGTAGAGACTAAGGCTGATTATGGGGTCCTGGTGTGGCGCTGTAATATAAGCACTGGACTGACTGTTAACCACAAAGTCAGGAATTCAAACCTACCAGCTGCTCCTTGGAAACCATTTACTGGGTTGGAACTGACTCAACAGCACTTAATAACAAAGGTAGCATAGTGGTTACGAATTGGTCTGCTAACCTCAGGGTCAACAGTTCAAAACTACCAGCTGCTCCACGGGAGAAAGATGAGGCTTTCTGCTCCCATAAAGATTTACAGCCTCAGAAACCCTGTGCAGGGTTGCTATGAGTCGGAACTGACTCCACGGTACATAACAACAACAAGTTGTACAATATTACTACAGACTCTAGATTCCTCAGATCACCTAGATCCTGGGAAGGATCTGTTCACCTCAGCCACCATTCCCAAACACCTTCTCTTCTAAATCATTACTTGTATAAACTTATATAATGGAAGGTCTAAGGAGCTCTGAAAATACAGAGTCACTGTGGCAAAAGGAAATGGTTGATGTTCAAGCGTTTCAAGAGGTAGTATATGATCAAGAGCCAATGATACTGAAGGAGGAAGTCCAAGGTACATTGAAGGAATTGGCAAAGAACAAGGCACCAGGAATTGATGGAATAAAAATTGAAATCTTTCAAGAAAGTGAGGCAGCACAGGAGGCATTCACTCATGTCTGAAGACTGTAGAAGAATTGGTGCCTTTGAGTTATGGTGTTGGAGAAGAATATTGAAAGTGCCATGGGCTGCCAAAAGAACCAATAGATCCGTTTTGGAAGAAGGGCAGCCAGAGTGTTCCTTAGAGGCCAAGATGGCCAAACTGCATCTCTCATACTTTGGACATATTGTCAGGAAGGACCAGTCTCTGGAGAAGGATATCATGTTTGGTAAGGTGGAGGGTCAGAGAGAAAGAGGAAGACTCCCAATGAGATGGATTGACCAGGTGGCAGCATCGATGGACTCAAGCATGGCAACAATAATGAGGTTGACCCAGGATCGGGCAGTGTTTTGTTCTGCTGTGCATAAGGTCACTGTGGGTTGGTACCAACTCGATGGCACCTAATAACAACAACAACAAAGGAGCTCGGGTAGCGTAGTGGTTATGAACAGGGCTGCTAATCTCAAGGTCAGCAGTTAGAAACTATCAGCTGTTCCACAAGAGAAAGATGAGGCTTTCTGCTCCCATAAAGATTATAAACTCTGAACCTTCCCTTCATTGTTAAAACTTTGTCAATGTGCCATTGTCTTGGGAGGATAGAAAACACATAGTTTTGCCTTCGTGGGCATATAAAAGGGTGGTGGTGGGAGGTGGTTGTGTGTTGTGAAGTCAGTTCCAACTTGTAAAAAAAAATATTGCTACTAGGGTTCCAGTTCATACATACACAGGTTTGTTCCAAACAAAATGTGATTAAACATGTCTCTGCAATCAGCGGATGGCTGCAGACAAGCTTTCTCAGTAATATGTTTGTCTTAGTCTCATTAGGGTACCTTCAAAAAATAGATGTAATCAAAACAGTGGCTTCTGAGGGGATCTGTGTTGTTGTTATTGTTAAGTGTCATTGTGTCACTACTGACTCATAGTGATCCTGTATAGATAGGGTTTCTGAGGAGCAGCTAGTGACTTTGCAGTCCAGAACATTAACCCACAGTGCCAGAGACATGATTATTACTAGAATCTACTAACTAGTCTCCATTTTCTAAAGTCCTTCCCCAAAACAAAGAATAGCTGACTGAAGACATTACTTGCAGAAATTGTTTATTCAGCAAATATTTTTTGAGTCCTTACTATATGTCAGGCACTGTCCCTATGTTTTGGAAATATGCACATGAATAAGACATCCTCACCCTTCTATGAGTTCATAGCTAGATGGAGGTGACATAGACAAATAACACAATGCAGTGCAAAAAATTTTATAGAATAGATATGGAGATACTGTAAAATACTTGTATGTGAACAAAGAAGAGGAAGTAACTAAGTTTACCAAGATTGGGGGAGGGGGAAATTCAGGGAAGGCTTGGGGGAAGAGATGCTATTTGAGAGGAATTTTAAATAATGACTGGAATTTTACCAGAAAAAAAGGGGTATGACATCAAGAAGATGAAAAAATCATTTGACTGGGAGTCTCAGAAAATTAGGATTATAGGTGGTCCGGGATTATCAATGAGTTTCATCCCGGAGTCTGTCTTTAAATTGAATTTGCAGGTAAATTGGAGCAGATAGGTACAGTTCGGTTCATATCTAATGTCAGTCAAATGTTTGTCTTGTTAAGTGCGTCAAGTCAATTCCAACTCATAGCGATACTGTATAGGATTTCCTAGGAGCAGCATGTGGGCTTGAACCACTGACTTTGTGGTTAACAGTTCAATACTTACCCCAATGTTTGTCTTAATATATAGTGTGGCTTTCTATGAGTAAATGTAATGAAAGAAACACTTCCAGATACACTAAAACATTTTAATGTAAAACACAGTAATAATAATAATGTTTTGATGTGCATTGCAAAGTAGTGCCCATTTGTCATTGTGAACCATTGTATGCACCTGATTTTTTAAAATATAATTGGCTTTACTGGGTTGGTTCATAACTATGGGTTGTTCATAGGTGGGACATTTGTGTAGTCACCAGGTGACTGACTGTATAGTTCTCTCTTCTTTCTTTTTTTAAAATTTATTATTATTAATGTTTTTATTGTGAATTGAGTGAAAGTTAACAGGGCAGATCATCAGTTTTACATTCAACAAATCAAACAACTTGTTTCATTACAATTATTATAATCCCCTCCATGTACCATCAGTTAACAGTGTTTCTCTCTATTCATTTTAGCTTTTTTTTTTTTTTTTAAACACTCAGGCGTATATAATAAGTTACATCACCAAAGGGCACATTCTGCAAGTCTGCCTCCTGGCCTCCAGCTCTCAATCCCTCTCTTCCCATGAA